TATTTTGTGTGTAGGAATATAGCAATTTATAAATATGTAAAATTTTCAACGTTAAACAAACCTTTCACTGACATTCACACAATCCAAACTAGTAACAGGTACAGAGCGCTGGTATAACTAACACTAAGTGCCATTAACACCGACTACAAATCATGTGCAATTAACTTTACAAAATAAATTAACCCAGTCATTAAAACTTGTAAACCATGCTTGTGAGGGCAGTTCATCACGAACAGGCTGCAACTAATATGTTTGTACGTTGCAGGGGTCCGCGTATACAGTATAGGGGATGAGGTAGTTAAGTAATTAAAATGTTTACTTAAAAAACTGAATGAGTTCATCTTATTAGAATAAGTGAAGGTAGATCTGCAATAAAGAGTTTTCCCAAATGAAATCCATAATGTTTTTATCCATAGAAGTTACCAGATGAATTTTCAAACCAACGAATGAAATAATTATCTTACAACTGAAAGATTGGAGGGTGGCCATTTTTTGCAGCGGGTCTAGTGATCAGAACACAAAAATTTTTTGATGGAAAATGGATTAAAATCTTGATCTTCTGTTGGTTTGCTAAAATACTGTATGTTTATACAACTAATTTTAAAGTCATATGTTTACTGTTTTGTTACTAACATAATAATTTGAGTTGTTGTTTAGTGGAAGAAATAACGTTAAGATTGTTTTGTTAACATTATATTTTGTTATTTCGGTCATCTATCGTCTGTGATATCAGAATTGAATCGTATATATTGACGATAACATTTGGATGACCGTGATAGGACTTTCAGGATGGACAAAATTAGGATTGGGAGATTTTTACCTTGACCTGACCGGGTGTCTACTGTCGGTGAAACTAGATATCCAAGCTTAGAAGATGAAAACCCAGCTGGCTGTAAGTAATAAAGAGTAAACTGTCATTATGGAAAAAAATTCTCAAAAATATTCATATTAGATAAGGGAATAAATTATTGGGGTCAGATATTGTCGTTACCACTGATAGAAATTGCAAAATTGAGGAGAACCCTCTTCACTAAAAAAATAGTTTTATGTTTTAGCATCCAAAGTCCAGCCTGCAAAACTATTGGAGTTATGAAATCTAATTCATAAAACACTTCATAATCTTTAAATTGAACAAAAATCTCATAATTTGGAACAGAGCTTTACTATTAGTTGTTACTGGTTTACTGAAGTCCAAACTCGCATGAATAAACATTCCACAACGCAGGAGAGTTTCAAAGTTATTTAAACTGTTCTTAATTTATTGATGAGAGTATTTAGTGATGCGCGTAATTAGATTAAGCCATAAATTAGCGAAGTTCGCAGACAAGGCTTACCGGGCCGGCGTGCTTAAAGGCTTAAACTCGAACAACTCTTTGGCGGAGGTGTTACAAGTTGTGTAGTTGGGGAGTTTTACTGCTGCAGTAGAAACCCTAGTAGTTAAATTCTGTTAGTATTTTAACGTTTAATGCAGTGTACATCAATTTATTATAGACCTTAACAACACCCTCGCTGCAGAAAACCTGCAACTAAAGAATTTCCATTTTTCCTAGTTATATTTTTAAATAACTTCTTGATCAGCATTGTACGAGTTATTAAATTTACGGAAAGTAAATAAAAGAAACGTCAACACTTAAAACATATATTTACGCTTATACTGTTACTCACAAGACGGTAAATATACAAAACAGATGGTAAGTGGTGATCGATTTCGATTGGACACTCCAATCATCATCAGACCCAATAGGCGAAGGGAATATCGAATGGAAAACAACACATTTCAGATTCGCCTATTGGGTCTGATGATGATTGGAGTGTCCAATCGAAATCGATCACCACTTACCATCTGTTTTGTATATTTACCGTCTTGTGAGTAACAGTATAAGCGTAAATATATGTTTTAAGTGTTATAAGACGTTTCTTTTATTTACTTTCCGTTATATTTTTACTAAAACATCTTAAAAACGTCAGATTCCCTATTTGGTTAACATAAGTAGAACAATAGGTTTGCCGCTACAGGAAAGGTGATAAAGTTTTTTTAAGAGCTGTTTAAAGTTTTTTTTTTAAATTCCTCCCTTACCAAACAGTACACGTAAATTGTAAATCCACTTACATTCAAAACTGTATTTTAAATCCATGTTCATGTTCAATTGCCAGCTGTTTGCACTTGGTTTGCCTCCTTGGTTGTTTGCTCCTTGTTTTAATTTATCCTATCCAAAATCTACTGGTATTTCACCAATGAACAACGCACAACTTGCACACACCTCAGTGTCATTATTCCTATCCAAGTTTATTCTGCAACTTGAACGCCACCTGGTCTCCTGACGCAAGAAGTGATGAAGAAACGCTTTTAAGCAGATAACAATAAGTCGCGCCTTGGCGGGAGTTACGGGGCGCGTAAATACCGCGGGAATTGTGATAATCTTAGCGGGAAGCCATCTCATTGCCTCTGTGGAAAACCTATTGGTATCCAACTTTGTGCTAAGAAAATGTGAATATTGTCTTATAACAATCCTTCAAGATAACATTAGTGTAATATATTTCATACATTATTACTACCGAAAGCTTTAAAAAAAATATAGTGACTTCGAATTTGATCGTTTACGTTTATTTGTTCTTCAACTTGTTCACAGTTAATGAATCACTCACATACATGATTAAAAATAGCCATAAAGACATTTTAAGACGAATATGTGCTACCGACAAATAGTTTTACTATAATTTATATTTTTAATAGATTAATCATTGAGGTTTTATCGAGTTTCAAAAATTATACTTTATCTGTGAAAAGAGTTAGACCTGTAAAAAAGACAACGGGAGTTTAATAGAATTTTTATTCCCAGGACGTAGGACTACCTATCTATCCATCCACTTCCCTTAAAAACAGAATCCACCATCCACACAATGGGCCGATACTGACTTCTAAAAAGATCGGTAAAAGCAAAAGCTAATCGAACGTCCAGCGAAACGCAACGTATCAATGAAAGATGTCACCTACAGTGGTGCGAGATTAATTTGTTATTTCGCATTGTTTGCAGGGAATTATTCAGACGGAGAGTTGGCAGCACTGGCCGCTGGTCACAGCTGTTCGTGTTAATAATGGCGTTCGGCGTCAGCTGGTTGGACACAGACCACACGACAATGTAATTAATATTCTTCAATCTCACTTGGACTTTGTATCGGATCGCTGTATCCCTAATGAACCATCCATCCCTGGTGGAAAACTGATCCGTCAAAGGGGTGGCACAGGGGATACTGATGGCTATTTTCGGTAACGGTTTGCTTTAGGAGGAGCAAACAGTAAAAAAGCTTTGAATAATTGGAATAATCTGAAACAATAATACTGGATAGGAACAGGAAAAGGGAAAGTTAATTGTTCATAGGAAAACTCCCTTGTTTTCACAAAACGTATGTTCTATGAAACATTTTGACAAAACTACTCAGCCCATCCACACTCTAACATTTAAATCACAAATAAATCATTTGGACCAACTCAACAGAAGCAATATGTACTAAAAGTAACGGTTACAATAATACATCTGAATCATTGTTTTTAATACTGATAATTTGTAAGAAATGTTAAATTTTAAGATAGGAGGTGGTGAAATCAATCTGTTCATGTTTGTAAATAAATAATAACATTTTCGTCAATATTCCGTTCTAGGATTAAGTAATTAACTTATTTATCCAACGTCTTGTAGGTATGAGCAATAAAAACACAAAATTCTGTCATACTTATTAAATATTTTTTTAAATTCAATTGTGTAAATATAAATTGTCTTAGAAGACTAGCAATGTCGCCGTTCAAAAACGACTTCCATATTTTACTGAGTCGATATTGTGTAATAGGTTTCCCCTCAAATTACAATTAATTTATTTTGTTTCAGTATAAAAATAGTTCATACAGTAATTGGTAGTACACGAAACACAATCCGTCCCATCTAAGAACTACTTCGATCCTTTTCCCCATTTAAAGTTTCTGCAAACTCCAATACAAATTGACGAGATTGCCCAGAGGCGATAAACTAATATATACAAACTCTCTCCCATAACGAGTAGAGCCTTTAACTTGACCATCAAAGCGGACAGAAGCAAATATTAACAGTGATAAGAGAGTGGCCAGTGGCCTCTGTGGCCAACAAATCTTGCTCAATCAACCAGGCAAACGTATCTCCCGCTAATATTGGCCTTGGATTATTAGTATTAGTATTAGTGAGTACACAGACATAATCATGTGATACTCATGGTCATCTGTCGTCACTTAGTTTACACTGGACTGGAGGCAAACTGTGGAAATACAGGGTCACTGATCCACACTTTGTACAACTGTATTTTATTTTATTTTTATTTATTCATATCAACGGATATATTTACAAAATATGTGTTTTAAGCACATGAGCAGAATGAAAAGATAACAAGAGAAGTTACATAATGGCCATGAAACAAATGAGCATTGCAACAAAAATAATAACAAGACAACAACGTAACAATAACAGATAACAATAACAGATGTATAAGTAATCCATGACGCTGGAAGTGTTGAATAAAGTTGAAATTGCAGTTTGAATATAAATGCGAAAATTACAAATATGCATAACTCATTTTTAGGACTTCATTTTTTTTAAACATATGAAAATTTCTAGATTGCTTGATGGCTACTACCTTAGGCATTATGAACAAAAAATTATTAAAACGCTTTGAAAATTCACAGTATTATATTTCAACCCAAGCTTCATGAGAGTTTTTTATTCCACACTTTCATACTGGCTTTTAATGTTAAATTAAAGTTTTAAAGGGAGCTGGTGAAATTTGAATCTCAGTCTCGAGGACTATACTGGACCAATCTTGTACAATAGATGCATGGCATTTACATTAGGCTAGTTTATATAGAAAAACAGACTACAAATAAAGGTTTCGCCCTACTGAACAAAATCTTTGTAATTTAAGAACAACCAGATTATTCACTTTTAACGATTGTATGGAATAAATAGTATCCATGGTAGCGAGGTTAAAATCCACGAAATCAGGATGCAAGACGAGAAAAATCTTATGTATACTTTTTCAAGTAAAGGAAGGTGACTGACATTATATAACCCATATTCTCTGTAAGTAGTTAGGGCCTACGTTATTATCCTCACATTAAGTGGGATTGTTTAGACACCGGACTATTGATAATAATATCATAGTTGTAGGTACGGATGACTAAATAATGTTTCCTTCAACAAATGGAAATACGCTTTGTAAATGGGCATTGATTTGAATGTTAGCATACTCTCTTAGTAGATTTGTGCTTCAAAATTTACAATGGGATGAGGAGTCTAATGTTAGTTACTTGTTAGTCATAACTAACAATTGTTTATCCAGTAATATAATATTGTATGCAAGTCTAATAGAATAAATTAGTGAAATGTATTTGAAACGTTTCTGAATAAACTATATAAAACTGCTAATACTATATGGAACAATTATCCCTTTCAAAATATAATCTTTATAATATCAAACAGTAAATCAAATAGCAATAAATAGCGATAAATGGAGTGAAATAGACCTGTGTTTCATTATTGGTCCTGGCAAATTGCTATTAAAGAGGTAACTTAAACATGCTAGTCATAGTCGATAACACAGTTATATCCTAAAACTATTTGTAGAAAAAATTATAAACTTCATATTTTTGAATCTTACAAATGCAAACATTTTCAGGCAGGTCCGCAGATTTAACATCCTAGACATACAACTCTGACATTTTACATACGAGTTCAGTGAACATGGCCGAGAGTAAAACTCCGACAATTGAGCAGAAGAGTACATTCTCTGCCAAAACCAAGGAGGGGGCCGACGTGAACTACATAGCAACTATAAAATATTACGTGAACCCGTCGGGAGACGTGAAAATAACCACACCTGGGTCAAAAACACCTAGAATCCCAGATCCAACGAGAACTGAACCCAAGGAAGAAACGAAGAAGGAAACCACAGAGACAGGTCCGAAGGTAAAGGTGGAGACAGGTGAAGGTAGTAAATCCGATAAGGTAGTAAGTAAACCGATAACAGAAGGTAAAGTCAAACCTAATGTGGACAGAGAAGCCCAACAACAAGAAGGCATTTGTCGCTTCAAAGAGTTTGTTCCTGACCCTTGCAGGGCGATGAGCGATCTCACTACTGCGATTAAAGATTTCTTTTCGTGCTCATCAAAGAAACCTGTACCTGATTCTGGAGACAGCAATCATACCAACCCACCGACAACGACTCGTACAGATCAGCCGCCAGAGAAACACGAGGACAAAGTCAACGAAGAAGCAGTTAAGACCAAGGACGAAGCCTAAGTGGCAATAAATATTTGGATTTTCAGTCGTTTTTATTTTTTTTAGAAATGAGTTTATGGATAGGCTAGTGTTTAAGTTGAAGTTTTCGGTTCCTTCACACTTCACACAAGGTTATTTTGGACTATGATTATTATACTTTTATATGTAATGTTTATTGGTACGTCTGAAATAGATTGATTTTATTTGCTAAGGTAATTCGGTAATTGTATAATGCATAAACTATTTTCGACATGTTATTAAATTATTCATTTATTAATTAGCACCAGCACCTAACTATTTTCTAGCATTCGACTAAACTATCTCGATACTTTACCGATATTACAATATTAAGCTCATAGATGTTCCACATACCTAGGAATGTCTGAGGTAGGTTCTTTCCTGATTTTCCCTCAGGCAAGTAGACGTCCAACGTTTTGAGGTGAGGTTTTCGAAAGTAAATTTTGCTCTGTATCCTTGACAAGATGAGAATACTCACAATGTTTAAGTTTGTATTGACTTTTCAAGGTAAACAAATAGAACTGACAAATGTTTAAAGCTTAACAACTAACTTAACTACTTAACAATTTTAAACAGCTGATCCAAACCAATGTAGATTTCCCATCCTTACGGAACAGCTGAAGCCAATTTTACTGTTAGTTCTGTCCGGTGTACCGTAGATGTCGTGTTTTGTTTACAGTTTGTTTCTATTATTTTAGGGCTAGTTTCTCATGATTTGTGCCTCACTGTTTGGTTATAAATTGGCTTCAGCTGTTCCATAAGGATGGGAAATCTACTGTAAAATGCTTTGCACAAATAATATGTGGTAGGTTTTAGTTTGTTCTAGATTGTGGAATTAAGTAAGATTCCATAACCGATGCTGTATCAACCTTAGGCTTTGCCTCCAAGTGTTGATAGTGTAGTCTTAATAATATATTTTTACAGAAACAATAGGAAACCTACAATTAAGTTGTACACAGTGTTCTTTCCGTTTCTAAACTCAATGTAACGTTTCTAAACTCAAGGAAACTATGTCTCCTTTATTAATGTGTGCTCACGACTCACATTTATTAATTTGTTGATTTGTTAATTCTTGACGTTTTAATAAACATATTATAGTTGGTTTGTTGAGTTATAAGTAATTTTTTATTCAATGCTCAATTTCATATGGCAATTAAATAATATGTACCTACTAAATATACAAAGATAGGTGTTTTCTTTATTATTTTATATAAAAATAGTTTTTTATTATATACGTTGAACATGGTTGAACCAATATTTTTTCAAACTTTATTATAGTATAGATATTACGATTTCATAAATATTTCTAAACACTATTGAAAAGGCACAACAATATTGCTGAAGTTCATATCAGCTGGAGCTGATGTTTGTTTATGATTTATTATTTATTGTGAGTGATTTTTTAATATTGATGTACCTAATAAAATGTGTTTATTTAAATTAAACGATTTGTAGTTTTGAAAATGCAGGATTGAAATCCAAAATACCAAATAAAGGAAAAAGATAAGGAAAGAAGGGAGGCGAAGAAGACGAAAGGTGAATGAAGTAAATGAAAAAGTTATTCGAAAATTTGGTAAGATTGTCTCATATTAGCCTACACAAGATTTTAAAATAATTCAAACCAAAATTTTATTTTCCATTTTTACCTTAATTAAAAGTCACAAATCTTAATCAAACGATGTGGTACGTTGAATGTTGTAACTATTTTATAGAACAGATGAACGAATTTCCCCAAGTCCTCTCTCCGTTGTAAAGCACGGATACAGAAGCTAGTTTATCATATAAATACAATCAGTAAACCCTTGAAGTTAGTTTATTAAGGAAATAAAACAATCTAACAAAACTTGAAACATACACACCTAGGCCTATACCGTTCATCACCAAGATGGTAAATATTGAGGTCGTCGTTGGTTACTTGGAGTAGTTATTAACACTCTGCATATACAATGACACGAAGAAACAAGAATTTATTATAAAAAACACACCACAATCTCAAAACACACAGACAATAAATTCATCTGAAACGACAGTAAGGACAAATTGTATTGTCTGATACAAACTGTGTTACTCTCACAGCAGCTATTGTCAAAGAATCGCATTGGTCCTGTGTTGAAAGATATGGTCTAATTAACTAACGATTGTCCCTATAATCACGGCTCTTTGTCGACTAAGCCCAAAATGGCCATTCACATAATCGGTTTAATTTGACCTATCACAACTCATGTGGACTATGTGATCGTTGTTTCTAGTCTGTGCTGACGTGCTGGTGTGGTTGAATTAATTTGGTCTGTAATTGTAGTTAGTACGGAAAATGTAATTTTACAGACTTCGAAAGGTACATCAACAATGTCTTCTCAACTGCATTGAAAACCCAAAGAGACTTTTGTAGTAAACCATACAGCTTGGGTACCTCCTTTAATGTAGGGGTTGTAATAAAAAAACTCCATTGCATGATAGTCAATGATGATAAGTGGAAAAGGGTTGTGATTCCATTGGAATGGTGATCCGAAATAAAATTGGTTAAATCATGTACAAATGAGTTAAAATAGCCATCAAATTGAATTTTATTAGTCTAACAATACTTATTCGTTTTTATACTGTATTCCTATACGAAATTACAATAGGGGTTTATTGAGCGCTCCACTTTACTTCTTGACCAACTCTGTGAACAGTCAATTTCCTTAAGGGTGGTTTTAGAAAGTTACGTAAAATTACTGAGCGACTTAAAATTGCTTGATTAATGTTTAGCTAGTGTGGAAAGATATACTAGGTGAGTGTACAGTCAAATTAAAGATTCGTAAAAAAATAGGGTTATAAGTAGTCTATTTAATACTCTCAACGACACATGTGGTATTTTGTAAACACGGACTATGAAGAATCCAGTGTCTACGGGTAATCTAGTGACGTTTATATTAAAATAAGTCACATAAAATATAATCATTTAAATTAACAAAAAACTCTTGGTCTTTCCACGTTCCTTACCGTACTATAGATAAGACTCATCCGAGTAGATATCGCGTTTAATCATGCATACACGCGTGTTATCCAATATTCATGCAACATTAAATATCATACGAGAGTAATGCGGATTGGAGCTGGGGGGGGGGGGGGGGGGACATCGAGGGGCTTAATCGGGGCAGCAGTTTGGGGTAAACGTGACGCGATATACGTGACCCAAATTTGGAAACTCGCGGGGGCCGAGCCGCGCCGGGGGGAGGACCCGACTGTCTTATCGGTTGAAAAACTTCACAGTTTTATACACTTTAAAAATCTATATAATTTAATTATAAATTCATAACCCTTGTAGACCCCACGAGATTGCCACTTAACCTAAATTCACCTCGGAACAAATTTTAAACGTATTTTATCTGAAGGCAAATAGTTGTGCTGGGCGGTACCGAAGAGCGACAACACAACTAAAACATCTTAAACGTTTTATTTCGTGGGGGCGGCCCGCCTCCGTGGCGCGGCGCCGGCGTGTACCGCCCCCAGGTCCACCCCCGGCGGCGGCGGCCTTAGTTGACGTCGTGGCGTCGGGTGATACACACGTAACCGCTGCGACCAGACACAGCAAACTGAGCCATCTTACGTAACTAACAGGTAGATTTAGATCTAGCTAATTATTACCTAATTTAAATATTATGATACTGAAGTTTTTACAGTGAATGTGGTAGGCCTAAGTGTTCTTTGGAGGGTTTAAAATTATATATTTTATTAATTAAATTCAACTTTTGTCTGTGTATACACACGTGACACTTGAGTATTGAAGGACAAAAATATCTGAAAATAATAGGATGATGTGATTCAAAGATTTGTCAAAATTTTTCTCTATTAATGTAGTTGGAAAACTTCGTATTAGCTGAGAAAAGTGCGTAGCTCTAGAGTTAAAAATTTTACCCTAGAATGTGACAAGTGCTTTAATTACATGGCAATTATGATAGGGTCAGCAGAATAAAACTATAACTAGTTAAAATGCTGTTTTGTTGACAAACAATGTTATGACTTAAAGGCTTGTTTGAATGTAAACGTGTGTTTAAGATTTGTGATGAATGTGTAATAACTGTTCAGATTTGTATTGCTATATTTATCTAATTATGTTGAAATGTTCCAAACTAGATGCTTGATGTGTAAAATTAGAATTATAAAATGGAGTATTGTTATTAAAAGTAGTAAAACTGCTTCATTGATAATTAAGATTCTCCAAAACCTTGAAGTCCAGACTTTGACAACCTCACATTTCACTTCAAGTTCACTGTTGAATATTTTATTGGCATCTGAAGATGCAATAGTTTTTATTACTAACTTAAGTTTTAACCTAGCACATTTTTATGAAACGTAATAATAGTTTACTGTAGCTCCTGACCACGTGGTCTTATTACTTATGACGTCACTTATTGTCACGTGGTTTACAGACACGTGATCGTGGAACCCCCCAGAGCCAACGGTGAGTAACAGCTGTTTATGTATAGTATTCTCATGTAGTTGTCTTTATTGTTAACAATAATGCAGTATAACTTAGTGTTGGACTCAAAAGTCCAATGTAAAATGAGCATGATCTCTTCTGTTTGGTAAAATCATTTACAATGATGAGAAAAGATTTGTGTTTCAGTAGATTTTAAGCTGTTTAAGTTTTAGATAGTATTGTGTGGAGTCTTAGACGTAATTTGCAGGTATCTCGTTAAAATCCAAATTACCCTAAAAAGTTAATCGTATGAAACATTTAATTTTGTTATGCATTCATTATTGTTTTGTGTGTTGCGTTATGCAATTAAAGTTATAATGTTTAAACATTTGTTAATTATGATACATTCATTAGTTTTACAGTATTAAAGGAACGAGTCCCTCAGTAAAATAGGGTAGAAAATGTATAAGTATATATATTACGTCTTAAAATTTTAAAATAATAAATTGAAAAGCTTAAATAGCTATAAAACACGAATTTTTTTAATTTTGAGTAAACGATACTAAAGTTTTTTTCACAAATACTTGTTTTAATTATCAACGTTTGTTATTTGATGCATACTAAGTTAATCTCAAGAATTGAATTAGATATTTTGTGAGAAGTTCATGAATTGTGAAAAATACTACCCCAAAACCTCCATATTGGTGTTTTTCTTTAATATCCTTGTATATTTTGACGGTTTAAAAGATTCATCAGCTGCTTGTTCAACGAAAGTTAAGGGTTTTAGACTCCGATTTGCGTAGGGCAACACCATGTTTTGATCGAATTTACGGTGCATTAAAAAAAATAATTAATGGAAAGATTTAATTAATGAATAACTGGAAGAGGTATGGGTTTTGTTACCGATAGCTGACTGTTTGCTAGCCATATCTAACACTATTTCCCACTACTTAATAAAAACTCAGCCGTGGAAATGTATGATTAATGGGAAACTTAGTTTAATACCCAAATGTTACCTCCAGTATTGTCAATTAAATTATATTTAATGTTAGCATGTCCAGATTAACTAATTTAAATTTAATTTTGGAAAAATACTATTAATTAAGTGACGACGAAAATCTTTTAATGGACCTCTATTGCTATAGTAAACTATCAAACACGAAAGGCTGCTAAGTAAACGGGACGGGTTTACAATAAAAAAAATTATGCCAAACAGCCAAACATTTTTTACAGCATTTGTATAAGTTTTACATGAACACCAAGAACAAAGACAACACATACATTAGCAATCGTTCATTACACTGAAAAAACTCAAATAACCATTCTAGAGAACACTGATATAAATCCCCATTCTGACAATATCAATATTTAAACGCACAGCTTGGATCTTTTGGCAAACACTTAAGGCCTCTAGGTTCTTAACCACATTTGAAATTTGACCCTTGAAACAGTTCAAAAAGACCGCGGAGGTTGTGAGGTGGTTTTGTTATTAAATACTCACGTCAGTGTTCTTTGTACAGGCTGCGGTGTCCCTTGTTCTGACGTTGTAGCTCGGGTTGGGGATGTAATTTGTTACATTTTGTAACACTTTGCATATTTTGAACATATGAGACGATAAGTTCCTATTTCACAAAGAAGTATACAGTAGAAAAGGGTTTCAAGGTGCATGCCTTTAAAAAATTTAGTGTTGATTTGCTGATCGAGACGGACAAAAACACAATAATCACTAAACAATGCCCACAATTAAGGTTACGTAACTTTTTATAAATTAATACATTTTAACATTTAATTATACAGTATACGTGACAATACACTCATATAATATTACCTAATTAGCATTTACAACAATATATATTTTCAATGGTTTTAAAATGATTTTTTTAGTGACTTTGTATAAGAAAAATGAACAAGCTTCAACATCGTTAATGCAGTTCACATATTTAATTAGACAATAGCGTAGCATTTCGATTATATATTTATTTTAAGGTCTGGTTTATTAATAAAACGTTACATAACCTGGTTCTTCAACTATTAAATAAATATCGCACTTGATGGGCTGTTCAGAGATTTATAGAAGGTCGTAAAATGAATTGAATTAATGTAATTCATTTTGAATTTTTTTGTGTTGGTTCACAATTGCATCCAGGTAAATCCCATCTCATTTAAGATTAAAAAAAGCTTTGCAGTTACCTTCAATTGGAAAATTACCAATACCTAGAGACTTGAAATATTGTGTTTGAAATTTAACTAGCTTCTGAATTTAAATGCCATTAAGTTAGTTTGGCCCAATACATTAAATATATTTTTCTAATGCGACTATTAATTTTCTTTTACTATAGTAAATTGATAAATTCTTCAAGTAAAGTAGGTTTTTAAATTTCAAACTCACGATTATTATGAAATATTTTAATACGAAACATGGAAAAAGAGCTGTTAAAAAATAATTAATCCCATGTTAACGGGGATACAACATCCAACAATAACAGCGCCAGGAAGTATTATATTTACAAGGCGAGTCACTCCACTTTACCGGTTTTATTTCTGTTTCTCAGGTTTATGTATATTTTACTGCGTCATGTGGCAGACAGACCCGCGAATGGACAAATTTCAATGTTTTAACAATAATGATTGTCATTCTAATGTTAATAGCTTGATTAGCAAGTCCAAGCCAAGAACACACGATTGTCAAGCTTTGATTCACAAATAAACGGAAATTAATATTAACTGAATAAATTGTACTTTTGTATTTATTTATTTTACATTTTTCCTTTGTATCTCTGTTTCGTGTAAAAAGGTCCTGCTATAAAATGTTGAGAATTGCAAATTATTTTAAAAATTGGAGCTAAAATTTGTGTTTTATAACTGTATTGTGTGTATTTAATACTATACGTTTCAAGTGTATCGCGTAAGGGAAAAGAAATTTCCGATTAAAATCCTTAAATTGAACGAATCATAAAAAATCTTAAAAATAAAATTTAACTTATTTTAGGTGCGGGATAATTCGAGCTGAGTCATTTTAGTTGTCCAAACCCAAAATACCAATCGTTTAAATCGTAAAATTTTATTAATGCTGATGTCGATTTATTAGTTTGATCAAAAATTATACAAAATCGAAAACTATCGAATTCGTAAAACGGGAAAGATTTAGTAGCCCCCCTTTACAGAATTATCAAAAATATAACAATAATCACAAGCCGAAACAACATAAATCATCTATCTATCAACAACCATAAAATTCAACGCTAACAATGTAACCAATCGATTCGTTGCGATTGGACAAATCCATCACATAAAATTCCACACAAACTACATCGAAATCGTTTATAAACCACATAAATCCGATAGCGAACAATTCGGCCAAACATTGTAATAATCGCTAATTACAGCTTCTGAAAAACACTTAAAATACGGTAAATAACCGCGGCCACATGTGCGCCGGAATAATCCACACTTATAAATCTGTCAAGAGATCGGTTCGACGTTTTCAAACATTGATGGCGTTGCTGGGTTTAAATTAACCCGCTAAATGCATATTAATCGCAATACAAACTGGATCAGCATCAATAATAATTATAATTAACGCAATTAGTCTAACTATTATGCATGAAGTTGTTATTAAACCGGAAATGATTGGAATTCGTACACCGATTCTCGCTCTTGTATTACTTATTTTCTGTCGGCGATAATCCATTGCTATTTCGATGATAAATTCGCCGCAAATGTTGGTTTAACCAATCCATCGTTCGATATTTGAAATTGGTGGATTGACTTAAAAAATGATTCATAATGAAAAGGCTGTGGGGCCACGCAACAACATTCTATTGTCTAAATGAACCATTGTAGAATGTTCCTTATAGTAGCTACCACAGTGATAGATAATTGGACACATAAAGGTTCACTTCCTATGCGGCGACTGATATGACTCTAGCGTCAAGAGCGACTCCCAAGACTAGTGACTAGTGCAATTGCACTCTTGACCGTCATGGAATAAGTACAGTTGGCAGCGAATATATTACTTGGGAAAGAGGAGGAAAAGGAAATATTAATGTGCATGGTAAAAGACTGACTCAAGCTCCGTATATATTAAACTATAAAGTCGTTACAGCCTCGCGACTGAAGAGACTGAATTGCTCACGGTCCAGTCGCGACGGATCTAGCCACGCGGCTCCAGGCGCGACGCCTCTAGCCACGCGGCTCCAGGCGCGACGGCTCTAGCCACGCGGCTCCAGGCGCGACGGATCTAGCCACGCGGCTCCAGGCGCGACGGCTCTAGCCACGCGGCTCCAGGCGCGACGCCTCTAGCCACGCGGCTCCAGGCGCGACGGCTCTAGCCACGCGGCTTCAGTCGCGACGGATCTAGCCACGCGGCTCCAGGCGCGACGCCTCAAGCCACGCGGCTCCAGGCGCGACGCCTCCAGCCACGCGGCTCCAGGCGCGACGCCTCTAGCCACGCGGCTCCAGGCGCGACGCCTCTAGCCACGCGGCTCCAGGCGCGACGTCTCTATAGCCACGCGGCTCCAGGCGCGACGGCTCTAGCCACGCGGCTCCAGTCGCGACGGCCCTAGCCACGCGGCTCCAGTCGCGACGGCTCTAGCCACGCGGCTCCAGGCGCGACGGCTCTAGCCACGCGGCTCCAGGCGCGACGGCTCTAGCCACGCGGCTCCAGTCGCGACGGCTCTAGCCACGCGGCTCCAGGCGCGACGGCTCTAGCCACGCGGCCCCAGGCGCGACGGGTCTAGCCACGCGGCTCCAGGCGCGACGGCTCTAGCCACGCGGCTCCAGGCGCGACGCCTCTAGCCACGCGGCTCCAGTCGCGACGGCTCTAGCCACGCGGCTCCAGTCGCGACGGCTCTAGCCACGCGGCTCCAGGCGCGACGGCTCTAGCCACGCGGCTCCAGGCGCGACGCCTCTAGCCACGCGGCTCCAGTCGCGACGGCTCTAGCCACGCGGCTCCAGTCGCGACGGCTCTAGCCACGCGGCTCCAGGCGCGACGCCTCTAGCCACGCGGCTCCAGGCGCGACGGCTCTAGCCACGCGGCTCCA